GCATGAGCCCTGTCATGCATGTATTCATATGGATCTCAGGGCTCATGTTATAATGGATATGGTTCCTTTTGATTTGAATAAGTCCGGTTGGACCCCACCAACTCCCTTCCCACCGTCGTTTTACAGCGCGATTACAGACCCTCTGTTTTATGCTTTCGGCGCTTTGACGATACCGATGTCAGCCCCTAGAGCGCATTAGCGCCGTTACCGTAACATCAGCATACGATAAGTTCTTATCAAACAAGTTCGCGAGTTCCTGCGGATTTTCCTCATGGTCCGATGTGGTTTATGAGATGGAAAATCTTTGCTGTCTACGCGTATCCTGTCTTGACTCTTGACTCAAGTTTCTCCGTCTCCACTACTCATCATCGAATCCAGTGGCGTGGCGTGCTTTGCGATATATCGATTGATACGCCACTCAAACCTAAGAGAAAAGATCGATTATCAGGGTGTTCGCAGCGAACACCTTAGTAATCGATTCTTTACCATAGCTTCAAATGACAAGATATCGATAATCGATTATTCACGCCACGCCACTGATCGAATCCGTTTTTTTTTTATACAAGAACGTGTTCATCATTTATTATGTCACTGATTTTTAAGTCACGCCCTTGCCGGCACAGAACAAATTGGACCACATATACAAAGTAGAGTCTGTCATTGCTGGTTCATTTTAGAAACAGCATACCTGAAAATTTTGGCGAAAATGAGTTAGCGACTAGGTGATTCGATGGACGCCATATTTTGTGTCAGAACGACGTGGGATATATGGCATCGATTGGCTCTATTTTTTCAGCCACTAATCATTTTTTTCGAATTTTAAGATCGCAATTCTGTTGTCAGGAGACTGAAGCACTCACCAATTTTTACAAACAAATTCAACGTAATAAAGGCGTGGTTTTTTTAGAGAGAGAAAATCGCATTGGATACTGATATCGATAATGCACTCGAATGCGATATGTTCTCTCTAAAAAAAACCACGCATTTATTACGTTGAAATTCTTTGTTAGAATTGGTAAGTGAGTGCTTTGGTCTCCTGACAACAGAATTGCGATCTCAAAATTGGAGAAAAATGACGAGTAGCTGGAAGAATGGAACCAATTGTTGCGATACATCGCATGCCGTTCTGACACAAAATATGGCGTTCATCGAATCACCTTAAGGGTTAATACGCGAGCTGATTTGAGCGGCAAGAAACTCACAGGAAAAACTTATCCTGTAATTGGTAATTTTCAATCAGTAAAACTTTGTAAGATTATAATATGCCTATCTTAAGGATTTGAGTACAAATTGCCATTTATAAAAGCATGCAAATTTGAATTTTGTAAGTATACGTGCGTTTAACAACGGTAAAAGCTTTGGCCTGTGACAAACGAATCGGCAGTTTGTGAATACACACAAGAGCATCAGAGGAAGCTTTGATGCATGGGAAATTGAAGATGTTCTGCAACACGATAAAACGAGTTTACAACCCGTAAAATTCAACCGTATCCTTTCCTGAGGAAATTTAGATAGGTTGTTTGTGTCCAATTTTGTGAGCTTTTTGACCAACGTTTAAATATAATCTCTCTTCATGCATTGATAGAGAAAAATAAAAAATAAATTGAAAATAATACATGGAGTGATAATTTAAACATCATCAGAGTCAAGAAAACGGTTTCTTTCTCGCAGGTTAATGTGTACTTAATGCTGTTTTGATGTCAACGATGGTAATTTGTTCACTTCAACTGTTTTCTCGAAACTGTCATTTCCCACTGATAAGACCAAATTCACTACTCTAGGAGAGCCATTTGGCTCATATATATTCGAAATTTTTTAAGGTTAGTTACTCACCCGCAGGATAAAGAGCAATAATGACGAGCAAAGTTAATTAAGAGCAAATAATTTTTTTGTGGGCACGGCAATTCATTCGCAATCAGGAATTTTGTGATCAGGAACTTCAAAGTCTGGTTCATCTCTAAAGACACCTATGTGTAAGGAGAAAATAGTAGTGCATACATTGTTCCTAAACTGAGCCAGAAATTGTAGTTCCTAATTATAAAACGCAGTCCCACTACTGCTCTCTGAAAACTATCTATCAGAAAAATATAAAAAAAAGAATTCTACTTCATTTCGTTCATTCAACTTAGATTCGTGAACAAGGTTAACCTGATTTCGAGAAATTTAGTCGTTATTCCCATCCCAGGCACGCAACAGCAGCGTTTTTAAAAGAGCGCACATAAGCCTCTATGAGCCCTTTCACCGAAAAATTACTCAATCGGTGGCGCGCAACTGAGAGGTCGGGGAACCTTCAGCCGAAGCCTTGCGGGGAGCTAAACCGAGCAGGGGTACAATAAAAGGGGGGTCGATTTGGGGGAGGGATGCTGGGGGGTTGAAATACGCGAATCCGATGCTCTGATGCTGCCGAGACATTGTGGCCAGATCGTGCTGGAAAATCTAAAAAATTTGGGGATTGTTAAAGGGGGATTTACTATGTGTAAAATATCGACATTTTATAGCACAACTTGACAACCTCATGCCGGGAGAGGGCGCGGGAACCGCTCATTTTTCAATAAGACGCGCGCCGCGGCGTAATTGAAGTCGGGAGCATAGGTGTAAGTAAAAACGCCGTATGAGTTCTCCGATGTTGTCAAATTTCTCTCGATAAAATATTTACGTACGAGGAATGTCATACTTCTCTTAAAAATTCGCAGAGACATTAAATTGAGGGTTTCTATCTGCGTCGGGCCCTAATTAGATTTTTTAAGAGGAAAGGCCCGTATCGACGGCTCAGTTATAAAGTCTCGTATCTTGCTGTGCGGCGTTGTAGTCTGTCTGTCGGACTTTATTTTTTCAGAAAAAAAAAGATTATTCAACGGCGTTCGTTAAAAACTCTCGTCTAAATCCCTCCACAATCACAACGTAAACCAAAGGGGACCTCATGAGGAAAAAAACTATGACTAGTGAGCAGTTTCGTGCTCAGTGATTTTTGATAAAAATATTCCAACTCCAGGGTGGACGGTGAAGTATCACACGAAACTGAAGGCGTTTTCGACGGGTCATAAGAGTTAGTCGTTGCTCCTCACCACGCGTCTAGTCTCAACGGATCAAATTAGCCCGCATCTCTTCACCATTTCTTTGAGGACACAATGTAAACCAAACGGAGCTTCTTACGAGTATAAGGAAATGAGTTGTTTGAGAAAACGATATGTCGGTAACTTGGTTTATTTTATTTGTTTACCAATAAAGGGCACTTGGTTACTGCGTTATGACCCAACAACTTCGTGCTCAGAGCACGACGGATTTGTACAATTCGAGTATCTTTCCTTCAGATCGATTTTTTTGAACTGCCAACGTCAAACAATCATAATTTCAGGTTTGGGTCAACGCTATTCGACTCTCATTATTACAGTAATGCAAGAGACAGAGAGTTAACGCCCAGACAAGCGCCTTCAATTTACCTTGATACTACCCTTGACCCATTCTGCCGTGCAACGCAAAAACGCTGTAAACGCCATTTCACATTTTTTGAAAACAATGTATCATAGCAGAAAGACTTGTGTACCTTGGAACAATGTTTTTCAGACTTCTTTCGCAAATACTATCAAGAGCTCAACCTGAAAATTTGAATTGCATGAATAAAACAGTTTTTATTTCGTAAAGTGTTCAGTTCCAAAAAACGAGAAAAAAATATTGATGGATCTACGGCGTTCTTGCTTAGCATGGTAGCATTCTGTGAGAACACCGAAAAAAAAGAGGTGCTGTAGTAAGATCCTGAATTTTAAAAAAGTAGGGGATAGCTCTTGGATGTTGTCATGACCACTTTGGCTGTTGAAGTAACATCAGCATGCTACGTTAACTGCCAGGGTGTTAATAGCAACATCCAAGAGTTGTCGCACATTTTTTAACAACCGTAACATCCGGGATGTTACTATACCATCTTTTTTTTTCAGTGAACTTCTGAGTTCTGAGCGGGAAAAATCGACAATTTTGCAATAAACTCGTATTTCATTGGAGGAAATCTGGCAAGATCCGAATATTCCCTGGCGATTCTTCCTTGAAGCACAAGGACGGCGGCCGTGTAAAGCTGTGCGGTGGCGGGAGGCTGTTAGTTGAGCCGGCTCCCAAGTCTCGCGCGCCGTCAGGCGGTCTCTCTTGGTCGACAACTCTCCATTCTCCATTCATATTGATCATTTTTAAATCCGCCGAGCCCAAACCCCAAGTGACGAGTGACGACCGTCACCCAGTGGATCGAGTCAATGGGACAGGTTGGACAAAATTTGAAAACTTAAAGAGCTTACAACTCTGTTCATCAGTGATCGAAACTCACCTTAAAGTTTCAGGAGCCATGTGGCCCATCAAGCTCAATTTTTAGGGGCAATTGTAGATTTTTTACACCGAAAAAAAAAATGGTCTGTTAGTAGGGTAAAAGAATCGGAGGTATGTTCCTTTGCTACAGACTGTCAAAAAGTGACGAAACCCTCCGCACCGTTTCTTCTCAGTCTTGGCGAGAAGTTTGAAATAATGTCGATTTTTTTCAATCGATTCTTGAGGGCTGGACACACGTTCGAAGTGAAGCTTCAAAGTGGTGACCGTTTAGTGAAGTGTTGCGCATCGATGCTGAGATCGATGGCAACACTTGACGAAACAGCCACCACTTTGAAGCTTCGTTTTGAACGTGTGTCCAGCCCTTTATTGGATAAATGAGAGTCCGGTATGAACATCTTTTAATTTTTTTTGTCGTTCTGTTGTCGACGCTGGCCTAAGAGAGCGCGAAGCGCCCTCTGGGGGTTGAGCCGCGTAGCAGCCAGGGGGCATAGCCCCCTAGTACTATTATGAGCATGGTTATGCTACTGTGCTCATCAATAATATTACCAAAATCCACGGTTCCACTACCGTGAAATCCCGTGTGACATTCTTACCGCGGTAACCGTCGAAAAACCGTGTTTTTTTCCGGGTGGAATGAGAGAGGGAACGGAGATAGGGATTCGGGAATGGGTTAATAGAAGATTGCAAAAAACTTCCAATTTATGTAATCTTTATTCCCGGTCGTGACATCCATGAGCCGCGTTCTCTTAACTCTCTCTATAAAGGGACTCTAGGCAGAGTCAGATTGTGAGGCTGAGCCAAAGCGTGAATTTAAACTTGAGCCAGATCTGATGCTTGATCCTGAGCTGAAACTTGAGTCTGAACTAAAGCTTGAGTCCGAACTGAAACTTGAGCCAGATCTGAAGCTTGGTCCTGAACTGAAGCTTGAGTCTGAGTCTGAGTCTGAATCCGAATCCCTGCCGCGTTTTTTACGTCTGTAAAATAAGCGCCGAAGGGTTTTACGAGGATTGAGCAATCGGTATGGTCGCTTTTTTTTGTCCTCGAGCGTGAAGTTTTCGTCTCTCACGTCGGTTTTTTCCGTTATCTTGACATTGAAAGGACACCTGTTGTTCATGGGCAGGTAGGCTGGATTGCCGATGCTGCCATAGGTTCTGCCGTAGGTGAGGAAATCAGCGTAATGTCTGCAATTGCATCGGAGCAAGTGGTAAGGTAGAAGCTTGCCTGCCATCCGTTTGGCCAGCTCGATCGACTGACTCAGTTTCAGGCGCGGTTTCTTCGGGTCAGGCTTTATCACCTTTGCAGAGATGTCTTTGATGTAATCCGGCAATTCGTCGCGTTTTATTATCATCGGCCGCACTTCTCTGAAACAAGCCCCGAACTGTAGAATTTGACACGCTGTCACCTGAGGCCAATAAGGTAAATGAAACGTGGGCAGAATCGAGATATCCTCCACTGGTAAATGTTTGGAGCTATTCACTGAAAAAAAAATCTCGGTGTATTATTACTAAGAAAAGGGTAAAATTACCAAGAATTCAGGGTTCTATTTCATCCCAGTTTTCTCTTGGTAAAATTACCATTTATGGAATTGATAACTTTACCGAGAATCTCGGTAAAATTATTGAACTATCTCGGTAATTTTACTGGACCTTGGTAAAAACGCCAATATTTTTTATCGACTGTGGTAGAATTACCGAGATAAAATGGCAAAGTTACTGGGAATCGATTACCAATAAAAAATGTATTCTTACCTGAAAAAACAGTAAAAATACCGGTTTATAGGTAAGCTTGCCAGTTTGTCTTGGTAAAATTACCAATAATTGGTAAAAAAGTGAGATGGTAAAAGTACCAACGGACCTTGGTAAAAACGCCGAGAATTTTTTTTCAGTGTTAAAAACTTGGCAGATATGTTCCGTGCACTGGAGGAAACGATGGATGGCGGCTCTCCATCAGTGGCATGGCGTGCTTTGCGATGTATTGATTGATCTGTCATTTAAACCTATGGAAAAGGATCGATTAACTAGGGCGTTCGCAGCGAACACCTTGATAATCGATTCGTTACCACGGATTCGAATGGGGAAATATCAATAATCGATCATTCACGCCACGCCACTGCTCTTCATCTTGATCAAAATTGGACGAATCGTTGAATTTTGATCAAGGAAGAATGTTGGATGGTGAGCAACGATCATCAAGTGCTCTTTACTGATCAGAATGGCTCCGAATTTGATCGTCTATCGGGCCGAGGCCGGAACATCACGATGAGCACATCAGAAGCGTCAAACATTCACCTCTACTTTCAAAAACTGTAAATAAACATTATTTGCGTATTTTTAAACTTCCCGCTTCAAAAAGCATACCCCGACAAACACATATTTTGATACAGAGTGAGTCTGCACTCGAAACTGGAAATGGCAAGTCATTTGCTGCATGTGTTTTTCAGCTAGAAACAAATAGGTTAACAACCCTCCCCCCCCATTAAACGTCCTCTGAAGTTCAATAAGTAGAAGTATATTTTTGTTGTTTGTTTTAATCTGAGGAACTGTGTGACTTGACAATGGTCACTTTGAGTTTCTCTCGGAATTGAAAGACGAGGATACCTCATCCGTGTAAAATATATCCATAAATTTCAAAATATAATCCATTTTGCCTTCGTCAATTGGTCAATCAATGCCATTAAAACATCAATCTAAAACCTCATTATCCGAGTCGGTTTATGCGTTCATTTCGATTTTTACGATGATAGGTTACAATGTCCAAAAGTCAAAATGTCCAAAACCTGAATGCCCAAAAATCTCAAAAGGTCAAAAATCAGTAATGCCCAGCAGACAAATAAGTCCAAAAGTAGGCAAATGTCCAAATGTGAGATTAGGCATTGGTTGAGTTGTCATTGGATTTTTGGGTGCAGGTTGGCAAGCTGTTTGTGAATGCAGCTATAGAAACAGATGCGTCGGATAACGGAGAGATGCAGGTTAGAAAAAAATGGCGATAAAATTTTTCATGAGAGTAGGCAAATTCTTACTTTTAAAAATGCATTAGTGATTTATTTTCCAAATTTTAAGTGATATTGACAAACATAACGAACATGGCTAATATTACCCCGATTGTCATGAAAATAAAAAAAAAAAAAAAAAAAAAAAAAAAAAAAAAAAAAAAAAAAAAAAAAAATGTATTCTTCTCCATAACAACACCCTATATCAACGTCACTCTGCTAATAAGGACGCAACCGTATATTGACGTTCCGTAGAGCGATAGACTTGAGATGCACGGTGTTCGACTAATGGGACAATTTGGACATTCGCCTACTTTTGGACTTACTTGTCTGCTGGACATTACTGATATTTGGCCTTTTTAGATTTTTGGGTATTCAGAGTTTGGACATTATGACTTTTGGACATTTTTTTTTTGGACATTTCGACCTATCACCATTTTTACCCTTACCCGTTAATCAGCCCGACAGCAGCTATATCCACGAGCTCCGTTTTAGAGATGGCGAAATAAGCATGGTAGGGATAGTACTTCAACCCAAGCACTGGAAAAACAGCTATAAGGATCTGATCTCCAGCCTCAAATTCAACCGTCCCCAGTGTGTCACCCGCATCGACCGTCAGCAAACAATTCAAAAGGAGGAAAATTTCGATAGCGTCGTGGAGTGTGGTAAATATTACTGCCTCTCATCCTGATGAAGAATTAAGATGAGATAGTAACGATATGCAAATCACGGCAACAATAGGAAAAAATGTATAATCATAGTTAGTTAGTTCGTTAGTTAGTATAATTTTAAGACATTCAGCGTCTCAGGCTATTAACGTCTTTACAGATAATTTTGAAAATGGGAGTATATACGAAAATTTAGATTTTTAAATTAAGAGAGGTGAAGAGTTTCAGTTTTAACAGAAAAGTCTCAATACATTATCAGCAGCTTTGAAAGTAAATAGCTGTAGAATTCACGAAAAGTTAATTTACGAATATATAGTCGTTAGCTCTAATCAAATTTGTAAAGGAACCGATCCACATTTTCTGAGAGAATTTCCTCAGGAATGTTTTGAGCTTAAATCAGTGGCGTGGCGCGCTTTGCGATAAATCGATTGATCTACCATTTAAACCGGTGGAGAAGGATCGATGAACTGGGTGTTCGCTACAAACACCTTAATGATCGATTCTTTACCAAAGCTTCAAATGGGGAAATGTGAAAAGTTAATCATTCACTCCTTTGGTCTAAATAACGAATAGTTCATTTTTTTCAAGTCAAAATGTCAAAGAAATTTGGAGTAATATCCTCAATTAATGAAAATACGAAATAAAATTATATTTTTAATTTGAGTCTCGTGGAATATTAGAGCTTCAAATCTCCTTTTCTCAACTTCATGCGTGATAATTCTTTTGATTGGACTCATGCTAGAATAAATCGTATCAAACATTTCATATTCCAAAAGCATTTTTTAGGCAACTGTTATATAAAAGAAACCTACAGTTTGATTTCAGAACTTCATATGTCAAAAGAAGATAATAATTTTGAAAGTATTAATATTTGTAATGACACGGACACAATATACGTACACACTTCCAACGTGAAAAGACCAGCTCCGCATGACCTATCCCACAAAGCACTTGCAATGCATGTAAAATTTCAGAGCGTCCAAAAGCCTGGCCTTCTTTACACAGGCACAACTTGCATTCCCCTGCACTGTGTAGGCACGAAGTTTGGAAAATGTGTAAATTGACTGCCAAACTTCTAATCGCGAATCCAAATTTTTCGATATTCCGATCGATTAAACGTGTTCCCTTCAACGCACAATGCTAGATTGAGCTTTTTTCTTTACAGTGCAGTCGTGTAAAGTGTCCTTCACACACCTAACTCATTTTTCATTTATTATTTCGTTTTGAGGAGGTATGCAAACATTAAGGTTAAACCCTTCGAGGAAGAAAATTTGTGTAGGTTTTCACTCCACATTTGGCAATAATATTTTTGAAAGGAGGTGAATCATGCGCAAAGCGTGAGGCCTTTCCTCTTTTTTTAGCCCTAAGTGATGAGGTTTTTTGGAAAACTGCAGCATGGTGCTTCGTGACGAACATTTGCATGAAAAGCTCAGTAATTACTGTTCGTTTCTTTCAGCGTGTGAGAACCTGAACGTACGTAAGTTTCTTTTTTGCGAGTGGTATGCAACAATGTATGCAACAAGTGTCTTCATTTCATGATTGATTTTAGAAATATAGGAGGACTAGAACTTGTAGCCGCTACTCGGTCGCCAACTGATGAAGGAAAACTCAAGTTATTCAAAAGCCGACGGGCTCACTCGAAAGAAAGAGTATTTATCTCTGATTGCAACGTTATTTTTAATAAATGTCTTTAAAAAGCTACACATAGTTTCTCTGAAAAGTTTCCGCGAATTTTTCTAACTGATCCCAAATAAAGGCATCGAAAATTTTGATACGGCGTTATCGTTCGTTCTTATTTCATTTAGGTAACCAAAAAAAACAGAAAAAAACAAAACAAAACAAAAAAAACTAAATAACATCCGAGTTCCTGCATTGTTACAATGCGGATGTATATTTTCCCTTTAATTATGGTAAAAACTGGAGCAGAGAGTCAAGAATGATGACGCTTAGTCTTAAAGGGAAAGTTAACGGAAATCAGGAAAATCTCCAGGATCCTTCGAGGATTGCAGACTCGCGTTGTACTTGGATACTGTGTCCGCCGCACTGCAGAAGGTGGGTCTGACACCGAGAAATCACAACAATTATAGTGCGCACCGTGCTGTGCGTGCAATTCGTGAAGTAGCGTACCATGCCAATCGACCTACTAACTGCACTGCGATTTGTGCAACGCAAGAAGTATTCCTACAGTCTTGCAGGCGCTAATATGTGTTTAACGCCGGCCGCACTGCGTTTGGCGCGATTATTCGATCTCGCAGGAGGGTATTCGTGGCATCGAGTAATGGGGCTGGGCAATGGTATGGTAATGGGTAATGCGTAATGGTTACTAACTCACCCAGGTCCCCCTGACTGATGAATACTACAGTTTTGTGCCGAACAAATTGAAACTTACCTGAAACCAAAAGCAAAGAACATTGTTGAAAAAAATGTATAAAAATATGAAGGTAAAAACAAACGCTCGCTTTACTTTACGTATGATCACTTTATTTGTAAAAAAAAGAAGACAACATTAGCAACGCTTTGGAACATTGCAATAGGAGATGCTCATTTTTCGGCTTTATCTTTCGGCCCAAATAGCACAGCGCAACGAAAAGATTGAAATTAAATTGCAATTTGATTTCAATAAAATTTTAATTTTTTTACCATTATATTGCAATATTTTACATTATTTAGTCGATTTATGCTGATTTTAAACAATCAACAAAATGAGCTCCATTGTCAGAAAGATAGGCAATATGCAATGCATTGACAACTTGCAACTTATATAAATTTTATTGCAATAAGTTTCAATAAATGGGGCCCCTTCAAATAGGATCTAGGCAACATACACAACACTCAGTGGAATTGCAATATTTTTACAATGTAATTGCCACTTATTGCAATCAGAGCTACTTGGGTTGAGTTCTTTTTGAGGATTTTAGAATCTCGGATAGCGCGTTCTATCAAACGGAACTAAGCGCCATGGAAAAGCATTGCGAGTATAGGACGGAACGAGCATCGCCTTCCGCAACACCCGCCAATCCAAGCCCCCCTCTTCCTTCCTCCCTGATGTCGCTTAGTTCTGTTTGATAGAAGTACGTCCAAATAATCGTCAGTTCAATTTAATAATCATACATTTTCCACGTCAAATTGCTCTGCGGTTTTCATCACCGTGCGCAACGAAAGCTGCACAAATCATTTGTGTTAAAAACGTCTATCAACTATGTAAAGCCCTTGTCTGCCATACTAGGTAAAAACGCCGTATGAGCATTTGAGAGTTGCCTAATTTCCACAGATAAATTTTCTATTTTTCAGGAAATTTATGAATATTTTTCCTTGGAATTTTCGAGAACTTCAGGTGAAATTGCGGACAAAATCATTTGAAAAATTGGAGGAAAAAATTCGCGAGTTTTCTCGGGAATTTGTGTCTCATCGAAAGAAATTTGGCAACGCCTGAATGTTTGTACGATTTTTTCCCTAGTACGGCATGGATGTAGATTAGACTTATTATGCATAAATTGAGCTTCAGCGGGATTCTGAGATTTGTGATATAACCAACCAATCCCGCAAAAAATTCGCTGGAAAGACCCCTGTTTTTGTCCAAATTCACACACCCACTCATAAAAAGCTCTCAGATTCAAAGTTGAAGCCGCAATATGCGCTTGTTGTTATATTATGGTGGGAGAGTCCAGCTTTGTATAATTAGTTACATTCTGAATGCAGAGGAGGGGCTGAACACACGTCCAGAGTTGCCACTTTATGTGTTAACCTCAGTCCAAGAGGTAGTTTTTAACCCTCAACCGTAGCAATTCTGCCCATAATGTACGTATTGCACGTCCTGTTTGCATAAGGAATTTTACCGATTACAGAGTTTGAAGCGCATGTAATGTAGCAACTGGCATAGCTCTTACCGTCTGAACTTCGAAAGTTTTTTTTTATAAAATTGAGGAATGTCGGTAGACTCATCATTGCGATCCTCATAAAATTAATCGTTTAAGATTAATTCATTAAAAATATAGAATATAGAATTCAGATTCCTCCAGGCACTCAAGTTAACGTATCGGTGTAGTATTAGTCAATTTGCAACTGTACACATTTTGCTGAAATACTGCGATCTCTCTTTAAAATCCTAAAAAAAAGCTCATTCATTGTGCCCGGAGGTACGATTCAGCTGTTAATACCCGAAAAAAATATATTTTATGATGAAAGCTGAAAGCACCAAAACGAGGAAATAGACCTTTTGATTTGAGTATTCTAATGCAATACTACCGTGCCAAGGAAAAACGCCGTAGAAACTTGTGGATTTGCCAAATACCCCTTGATAAAAAATGGAATTTTGTGGAACGTCATGCATACTTTTTCTTAAAATTTTCAAATATTTTGGATTGAATTGCTAGAAAAATTGACCAGAAAATCGAAAGAAAAATATTTACAATTTCCCAATAAATTCGCATTTTATCAATGGAAATTCAGAAACGACTGAGGGTTCATATCTCGTTTTCCCTTTGCACGACGGAGTACTATTCCCTTTCTGATACTGTCACTTAGGGTTTACAAAATAGATTTGTTGCAAAACAACAGCAAGGATTGCACACAAATGCACAACGTGGGCAACAAAGTTAAAAAAAACGATAAAACCAAGACATTTCGGCTGGAAACCCTGCCTTCCTAATTTGGATATAAAATATCATAAAATTCAAAAACTATTATATTTTACATGGAACCGACAGAGACCGGGTTTTCAGCCGAAACGTATGCGTTTCACTTGTTTTATCCTGGCCTTTTCCCCCGCGTTTTACATTATTTCAGTGTTGCCGAATTTCCCCTCGCAAACTGCATTTTTACCGGGAGAATCTTGGGCATTTCTAATTGAAAATTTTACCGATTTCTCTCCCGATTTAATGCGAAAATCAGACCAATTTTTGAAAAAATGTCACAGGTATAATCTTGTAAAAAATTGAGTTGTTTGCGACAGTTTTACAACCTTGGAATGGAGTTACATTCCTTCGTCCGGGAAATAACGATATC